CCATTCTCCCATCCTCTTTTCGGGATCTTGGGGGCACACACACACACACACACACACACAGCATGAGTTTAAGCCACCAGGTCCAGGACTTGAACCACAGTCGACTACATGGGAGTCCAGCGACATAGCCATTATGCCAACTGCTGGTCCCGTGCGTCTATATTTTTAAAAAAGAATTATTTTATTTAATTTTGTTTATTTATTTTAATTTGACCACAGAGGGACAGAGTGAGAAAGAGTAAGAGATATGGAAAGTGAGAAAGCAAGCCGCCAGGTCCAGAATTCAAACTAAGGCTGGCCATGTGGGAGTCCAGCGCCCTTAACCACCATGCCACCTGCCGGATCCGCTTCTGTATGTTTTAAGGAAACTAAAAATGATCATATTGAAATAGAAAAGTGCCCAAAAAAATTGATTATGAAAGCAAACACAGGCAGGCAAATCACATCCCTCGTGGCAACGCTGGGTATGCGGGGCCTTTCACAGGTAAGATACTCTCACTTTCGCTGGTGAGAAGCTTATAGACTAAAGGCAATCTGCCCAAATGACCTGCATGCTGTCTGCTGAATATGCAGACATACAGGCTAAGTCTACTTTGTATTTGGATGTGGGGACAGTTTTCTGCATCTTCCTACAAATCAATAAGACGAGTGGAGTATTCCGTTTTCAAACCCGAGCTCGTGAAAACCTGCTTTTGTTGCCATGATCTGAGGCACCACTTGGTATACTGCAGAAAGTGCACGAGACCGGATGGGATCAGCTCTGCTCCGGGAGGCCAGCTCATCTGTTATCACAAGTCCCCTGCCCTTCTGTTCACACACACGGCTTTCAGTTGCAAGCTCTGAATCAGGAAATGTAACCTTCTCGGTTCATGGGACAATCAAGGGAACGAGATAATGATGGTGCTCCTCGAAGGGGTACGCCCCCGCGAATTCAGCAACCGTTCTATTTGACTGAACACTGTGTCTCTTTGGATAGAAAAATTAAAAGAAAAAAAAAAAAACCAAAATACCAAAAAACCTAATTTGGAAGGATGTGCCTGCGTTATCCCAGCCGTGGCATCCCAGCATGCCTACTGGCGCATTCTTTCTGGAGTCCGGTGCAGACGATCTGATTTGGCACTTAATGTCCCTAATCCAGGAGTGCACGTGTGGCCTTCCACCTGTCATTAAAAGACTATAGGCGCTTGTCTTCTTCCGCAACGCCTGGGGGTCGTGCTGGTACCAGCACTGTCATCGTTCTCACTTTCATTATCTGAACTCTCAGGAAACACGGATGCAATAGTCACAAGGTGAAAAATAACAGCAGCATTTTCATGACACAAAGCACGACGGTGAATGTGCAGCAGGGGCCGAGGGGTCTTCAAGTCCGCTGACGATCGAGGTGTGCACTGCGGTCACAGCCCTTGGGGTGAGCGGCGTGGGAGACCCACGTCACCCACGGTCGGGAATCCCAGTGACAGTGACCATGAGGGACAGGCCATGCCATTTCCATCTGACTCAGGACGGTTTTCTGCCCCCATCTTCTGGGCCTCTGCACAGGTCTTACACTTTTCCACCCAATTTTCTGCACCCACTGCCGAAAGCGCGGACTTCCTATGTCCTGGGATTTCTCAGGAGGCAGGGCTATTAGTGCTACACCCAGAAAATAAGTCACCACAGTGAGGACGGGGCATGAGGCCGTGCTGCTGGGCCCTGAAACAGCAGGTGTGGCATGGGCTTCTCACACTTTGGTGTCACATGACCCTGGCTAAGCAGGCAGGCCAGAGAACTCTCCCCTCAGAGGGCCTCCCTTAACTGGGAGGGATTCAACGTGTGCAGGATCTAGCACAGGGCAGGACCTGACACAAGGAGTGATCTGGGTGTCCCCTCTGGAACTGAGTCAAAATGGAACAGTGCCCACAAGCCATCTCCCTCAACCAGGCCAAAGACAACCTTGGGCGCCATGCCTGCTCTCTGGCCCTGCAGTCCACACACCTCCTTTCCAAAGCTCCGCAGGGCAAGGTGCAGAGTACACAGGAGGGCCAGGACAGGCTACTATGGAAGGGCTGTCTGTGGAGGTGACCTCAGGACACTCCCAGTTGGGGAGGGAGACAGACATCCACAGCTTGGGGAGTACAGGATGAAGGGGGGCAAGCAGGAATCAGGAAAGGAGATCGAACTAACGCTGCTCCAGGGTCAGACCCTGGAGAGGTAAAGGAGGGAGAGGCCTTAGCTCAGGACATAGCCCGAGCAGAGCCAGGGATGCCAGAGGCAGAGCTGCAGAGCACACAGCAGCAGCACAGGACAGGCCAGTCCCCGAAAAAGTGCTCGGGCCCATGGCTCCTACTGTGGCTTCCACCCTTGGCTGCAGACATGGACACAGGTCCACACTGTGGGACTGCCCAGGGGTTGCAGCCGGTCATTTGAACAGGGGGCCAGCCCCAAACCCCATTTGCAGCCTGCTGCTTCCCCACCAGCATCCCACAGCACGACGGGCCCCTGCAGTGGGGCTTGGCACCCGAGCCTTGACCAGAGGGGTGGGAATGGCTACACCCACTTCTCACCCATCCCCTGCCAGCTATGAACTGAGTTGCCCAAGAGTTAATCACTTTTCTGACGGTTTATTTTATTCATCTTTGGTAACAAATGGCTGAAATCAATTAAACTTGCTTTCCCCTCAGCTGATGAAGTTAATTATGATTTGTTATGGTATCTGATATGTAAATGATTAGAAAGCAGACTTACGTTGGACCGGCTGCCTCCGGGCGGCACCGGATTAATCATTGTGTAGATGTTGTCACTGGAATTTGTTGAATCTGTAGAACAGTGGAAACCAGCAAGTCGGGGTGATTAATTCATTTCTTAATTAAAACAAACTCGTGGCACTTGAACTCATTCTTTTGTATTTTATCACCTAAAATTTCCTCTAAGTACCACCATTTTCTGGCTAATTTGTATTTAATGAAGATTCACAAAGTTTTTAATCACAGAAAATTCAACTGCGAAAACCACTCAACCCTGAAACGAAGCCTTTCCAGGTGTCTGGTCAGCAGTGTGGACATGGCACAGGGGGCTGCAGGGTCCAATCCTCGGCTGCCCAGCCCATACCAAACCTGCTTTCCAGATGCTCCCTGGGACCAGGTGGGCCCCCCACCCCACAGCCCTGCCCAGTGTTCTCATCAAATCCGGGAAGGACGCGTGCTGGGAGTTACCCAGGGGCCATGCTGCCAGGCTGCCGGGGCAAGAGGGAGAGACGGGGAGGGGGCCGGAGGCAGATTAACATATGGAGTGGGTTAATGTGACCCAGTCTGAATGTAGGTCATGCAGCTCATCAAAATGCAGCAGCAGAGAGGCAGCCGGAGCGGGAGCCGAGTATCAGGGACGCCGCCAGCTCCACCCCTGCAGCTGAGCAGCTTCCCAGTGTGGGCAGCTGAGGAGGGGTATGGGGAGAGCCCCTCCATCTCCCAAGTTTGCCAGAAAAGGCTCCTTAGGAAATGAGCCACTGCAGCGACACGAGGGGCAGGAACCGTATTTTTCGGGCAGAAAACCGATACCGCGCCGTCTGTCTTGTGGGGGTGGGTAGGGGCTGTATGTTGAATCCCCAGTGGCTGGCAAGGACGCTATTCTTAGCCGGGAAAGAAACATAGCTGCGGTGTTGTGTGCACGTGTGCACATGCCCACGTGTGTGTACACGTGTCCTCCTAATTAAAGAAAGAGGGAGCAAGCCGGGCTATCCTCCATCGAGGACCAGAGGCCAAGCGCTACAGAGATCTGAGCGGGGTTGCACCACAGATCCTGGTCCCAGGATGCCAGAACCCAAAAGGCTCTTTTCTGGTCACCTAGGGAAACTGCCACCCAGGAGAGGGCTCTCCCTAACAAGAAGCAGCAGGAGCAACAACACCCCTTGTTCCCAGGCCTCTCTGCTCAGCCCTGTCCTTCAAAAGCAGCACCCGGGACCAGAGAAGAGGCGTGCCGGTCTGAGGCCAGGCACTGGGTTGGCGGCCTCGCGGGCCTGCTGCCCTGAAGCCCTGAAGCCCTGAATGCCAAGGTGCCAGGTGGAGGGTGTGCTGCTGAGCAAGGAGGGGCCGGTGAGCTTCAACTTTGTACTGGGCCCTCCCTAGCAACCACTCATTTCTACTGGTCTCTCCTTCCCCCTCAGACACTCTTACCTGCAGGACTAGGCATGATGGGTGTTCCTGGGGGGCCGCCACCACCAGGAGGTCCCTAGAGATGAGAGACAGAAACCAACGTCAGACCCTCACCCAGCAGCTCAGCACCCATCCTCTGCTAAACCTGCAGGGCATGTTCAGAGCCAGAGTGTTCAAGCTCAAGGAGAACCTGGCTTGGACTTCCCCCTTTCTTCCTCCAACCCAGCCCAACTGGCACCTGTGGGTCTGTGTGAGCACATGTGCACATACATGCATGCAGAAGGGTGAAAGCCAGAGGTCTCTGGTTGGGGGTTATCAATTCACTGGTCCCCTTCCCAAAAGGAGATCCCACGCCAAGTCTTATTTGGGGATTTCTGGGCTCCCCCAGGCCTGTAGGGGTGCCTAAATATTGACCGCAAGTTTGGACAGCTTGGAACTGTGTTCAGAGGGCCCCCACTCGCCCCGTAGTGCTCCTGCACACTCGGTCAGGCACACGCGGCCATGATGTCCCAGATCACCCACTTACCACATAGGTACCGGGCGATGAGGAGGAGTATGGAATCTAGAAACAAGATGGGGAAGTCATGTGTTAGTCCTCCAAGAAGCAGCACACCCCCTTTGCTTCCAACCCACTCGGGGATGTGGCCCCACTCGTCACAGGAAGGCTTAGGGAGCAGTGCACCTAGCTCCCTGGATCATTCCCCAGGAGGGCTGGGGTGTGTGAAGTCCAGTTCCCTGAGCCAGAAAGAACTGACTCCAGAGCTGAGCCTCCTGCTTCTGCCTTGGGAGGGAGCCTGGGGACAGGGGAGCAGACGAAGCCTGCAGCCGGGGAGAGTGGGAAGAAGAGAGCTTCACCCCAGCCCACTGGCCTTCTCCTCTGGACTGGCTGCACTGAGCTCCTCACCCACTCCTTCCTCTGAAAGCTGGAAGCCAACCCTGCCAGAGACGAGGAGACGGGCAGGACACCCCACTGTGGATGGCCTTCTCTAAGCCCAAGTCCTCAGCTCAGGCCTTCGCACTCCTACAGAGGGCCAAGCTCCGGGTCAGCCAGTATGTTACTCTCGGGCCTCTGCGTGCACACCTGCACATGGCCTTCTGAGAGCAATCCTGCTGCATCTCCCAGTCCCCATGACACCTTCTCCCGAGGACAGAGCAACCCTGTACCCTGCACCCTTCCCTGGCCAGTAACCCCCCGCCCCCCGTGTACTCACTGAGTTAGCACTGTTAGGATTGGGCCAGGGTCTGCCAGCTCCCGGGCCCCTGAGAGAAAGAGAGAAAGGGAGATGGAGAGAGTAAAAGCTATGCACTCCAAGGGTGGGGCCAGCGGGGGCAGAGTGAGCTCGCTGGCGAGCAACAGGAAGCCCTTCACAGTGCCCTGGGGTCTAGAGGCCACCTGGGTGGCTCTGTGGGTGGAAATCTACTCACTCCTTTAAATTACACGTAAGACTTGTCAAAAGGTATGGGTCGTCAGGAAAGTCATGATGCATTTTTACATAGAAAAACATAAAAATTTAAGTCATGACTTCCCAGCGACCGAATGCCCAGAATTTCCTCTGCACATGTGTTTTCCCGGGCAGGAGTTCAGAATCTCACAAAGGGTATAAAAATCACGCAGCACTGGAGAGCAGATCTGGGCGGGGGGGGGGGGGGGGGGGGGAGATATCAAATCTTGATGGCTCCTGAGAGCTGTGTGAGCTGGGGCAAGTTACTTGGCCTTTCTGTGCCTCAGAGGCCTCATCTGCAGCCGGGGGATAGAAAGAACGGCCTCGTCGGCATATCCCTGGAGAGGAGGGCGCCCATCTGTGCGGCCCGCCCGGAGTCAAGCGCGGCACGTGCTGACACCAGGTGAGGCTCGGCTCTCAAGGCCAGGACCCGACGAGGAGACTGAGGCCCAGAGAGGTCCCAGCAACGACTCCTCTTGCGAGTCTCCCGGGTTGCCCGCAGAGGGTGGGGGAGCCACGGGCTCAGGGCCGCCGGCCGGGTCGTTTGTGCCTTACATGTTGATCCCGGGCATGGCGGGGCCGAGGGAGTTGGGTGGAGGTCTCAGGCCACTGCCGTAATTCTGCAACGATAACCAAGGGTCAGTCTATGAGAAGGAGGAGGGAATCGGAGAGAGGAGGGAGGAAAACGGACAGACAGAATATAAGTGAGAGGGTTAGTCTGGGCACGCACCTGTGAGAACAACACATTCTTTCAAAAAAGGAGGGGGAGGGTGGGGACCACGTGGGTCCACATGACAAGCCAGCACAGAGGGACAGTGAACGCTCAAGGCACCTGATGTCAAGCAAGCTGCTCACGTCTCCGCCCCCACCCCCTCTCGGGGTAGAGGGCACACGGCCCAGGTCTCAGAGAGGTGAGCGCGAGCCACTCGGGAATTCTGTGGGAGAGCACGGGTGGGGCTGACTATGGAGGGGAAGCCCACCCAAAAAGCCCAGGCCCCACCCTGCCCCAGACCTGAGTCATCCCCCACCCTACTGTGCCCATGCATCAGCACGGAGTGGCCCCGACAGGCACAGTGCTCAGGGAACAGGGAGAACTCTGTCTACGCCTGCAGGACAGCGTCTGTGGACAGAAGAGTCCACACAGGACTTGGAAACTCCCAGAAGTACAGATCCAGCTCCTTACACTCCACTGAGGCAGAGCAGGGCAGGTCATAGGGGACCCTAGGCCTCTTACCCCAAGCACATTTAGTCATGACCACCCCAAGGCCACCCACCTCCCCGCTTCGACTGCCTTCTTTTCTTCCTTTCTTTCTTTTCTTTCTTTCAAGGAGAGATTTTTGCTATATGGCATGTACACTTGCCAGAGAGACAGAAAGAGAGAAATCACCCCCCAGGGTGGATGGCCACACGACAATCCCTATTCCTCCACTCTTCTCTTGGGATTTTGGGCATGCACGGACATGCACCCAGCCTGAGTTTTAAGCTGTCTGGTCTGGGACTCAAACCGCAGTTGACTACGTGGGAGTCCAGCGACCTAGTAACCATTACGCCATCTGCTGGTCCCTCAGCTGCTTTCTTTGCAGGAATAAATGCCTTGCCTATGTGTCTTCCAATGCCCAGTCCTCCCTGCCCCACTGCTTGGGGATGACTGCCCCTTCTCAGTCTCTCCTACAATGCCGCATCATCACCTCCCTACAGCCTATGGCCTACTGGGCTATGATTACGGCCCCATGTCCATTTTCCAGCTCTCCCCCTGACCCCCATGTAAGTGCCTCTTGAAGGCAGGGACTGTGTCTTCATAATCTTATCTCCCTGCCCCTGGACTCTACACCATCCAACACATCTGGGTGCCCAGGAGGCCAAGGCTGAAGCTATCCATGAAGGAATAAGGAAAGTAAAGCAAGCTCCGCTCTTGCAGGACAATCTGCAAGAAGACGAGTGGTGGAATCGTTTTTTTTTTTTTTT